GTCGGTTGCTCCCGTCCAACAATCGATGCTAAGGGCGCAGAGAGGGTTTCAGGTCTCCCTTTTGCGGTCTACTCTCATCATGCCCATTATATATTTCCACCATGTGCATACAAATATGCCCCATCGCATATATAATTTATTTTATATATATATATTATTTTTTATATATAAAAATATTTCGAATCGTGAGCACCAATTATAGAAACTCTGTAAAGTTTCTAAGTTTTATATTCCGCTTCCCTTCCATTCAATCCTCCATGTTTCTTTTCCCCGTGTTGGCAAATCGAGCCGATAACGCGCGATCGTAAATATTTTTGAACGATCAGTGGCGCCTAATTATTAATACGTTTCCTCTACTTCTTATCTAAACACACGTATGTCGTTTTCTAAATACCACGATTTCCAAACGAAATCAAACACGACGGGTAAGAAATAATTAATTAAATTCGTAAAAAGATAATGAGCGTTAAAAATTTATTTTTTGTTTTATTCTGTAAAATAAAGATTCGATTATTTCAACAAGAAAAAAATTTTATTTCTAAGAGAAATGATCGGAACGAATCGTTCGAAAATGTTTTATATATCTGCATTACGTTTCTTTCGTTTCTAAAGAAATCGTATAATCGATAATTTCGAAAGGAAAAATTCATGTTTTTTTCATCAGAAATCTGATGATAAATTATTATCTTAACTTTGATCGATGATTTGATGAAATTTTTTTAACGAAATCTTAAATTTTATTATTATTATTATTGTAACATTAAATTTATATTTAATCGCGATATAAATATATGGATATTTAAATCTATATATCTGTATTTAATATTAATGATTTATCTCTGTTTTGCGTAGATAAAATGTTTCATATCAAATATCTGTTTTAATATGTACAGTGTGAATCATTAATATCAAATAGTATAAATCTATTTGATCAGGCAGTTAGATAGCATATAATATTCGAATTATAATCCGCTAATAATTATTATTCTAATTCCGCGAGTTATTATTATTCTTAAATTATATATCCATTTAACGTTGTTACAATGTTATAAATTAGCGTTGGCGCGACTGTTCCGACCGAGCTCTGCGGACAATGCACACACGTTTAACTATACGCGCGAATTATGATATACTTTCGCGCTAGTGTCAGATTTCCTTGTTACCGACAAGATGACGTAAAAAAATCCCACACGTTCATGAATCTATTCTTCTCCTTTTTCATAGTATATCTTATATATATCTTTCATAAACTTTATATTTTTCTCGTTAAAATTACGAAATTGGAACGTTATATCGACACAAACATCGTTAATTTAATATACACGATAATTAAACGATATTAGAAAATTAAGGAAACTTAATGGCAACTATAATCGTTAAATATAATATTAAAACTAATTGAAATAATAAAACCTTGATATTTATATTTTCTTTATTCTCTTGTTTCTTCTTAATCATTTAAAATTACACATTTCTTACGATCGATATAAAATATAGATGATATAAAGGAGAGCAAAAATAATTTATTTAAATAATAGGAAATGAAAAAAAAAAAAAAAAAAGACGATAATTTACGCGTATATTCATTTTCGTCACTTTCACCCGACTCTCTCTTATTTCCAACGTGTAGATATATATATATATACGTACAGCTATCAACTTCCCTCACTGCGTAAATCAACATTACAAAATTGAAAGTGGGAACAAGAACACTTGGAATATATTTTCGTTCGACACTTTTCATCGGTTACGTTATAATTAAAGTAAATTATAACGAATTCACCGCTATTTCATATTTCTTGTTGGAATATAAACATCGATATCTTTTTCGACACGATATATATATTTACGATACGATACATTTTCGACGCAGCGTTAAAATTATGATTCATATCATAACGTATAACGAAATCGCATGAACGGTATTACTTACTATACGAAACGTGATCCGTATTGGCAACTAGCATAGGAAAACTAAGAATGAAATAATTCCACGACTAAATTATTCTTGGAAGTTGGGTCACTATTAAGGAAATGCCGCTTCCGTACATTCCGGATGCACGTTTTCACCAAGAATAGAACGTTCCTTTCGTCCTTCGTCGATGGTCCTTCTTCCGGAACAATACCGCAATTCGAATATATTTCCACACGAAAATTTTAACAATCTTTCGATTAAATTCTATTCATATTTACGATAATTGTTATAAATTTTTACAACAACGGTGCAAAGATCGTGAAAACGTAGATTATTTTATAAAACAAAAATATTAATTAATTTGTTTAAAAGTATCGTTTTGGATCGAATAATAAATGTTAATAAAATAAATGCAACGAATATCCAATTTTTCAAACGATTATAATATTCCAACCAACCGAAGTTAGCCGAAGAAGACAACGAAACTTTCCAAAAATTCTAACTTTCAAAGAAAAAATATTTGTCAATAATATAATCCGCGTATATGAAATTATTTAGAAAATTTTCGCGAAACGATACCTGACGCGAGCTGACATCTGATTCCTGGGATCAGATAAGATTCTCACGAGCCAGAAAGATTGGAGAAAGTCGGTGGCAGCCATGCTGCTGCTAAAGCCGGATTGCAATCCGACGATCAACAACAATAAATATACGTATTAGAATAAATAGGGCAATGTTTGCACGGGTATATATACGAGTTGGGTAATATAAAACCAAAGTCGTTACGTTAGGTAACCACGGAACTTAATTAACTCTTCTAAAAGGAGGGAATGTTGGTTCGCAGGGCGGTGGAACAATCTTAAGCGTGGATAATATTTTTACAAACAGCGAGAGATTTCAAGATGAATTCAACAAAATTAATAATACGAATAAATGGTATTTATTCGTCGAATAACAAATACGTAGAATAGAGATTAATAAATAGCAATGCCTAAGAGGGAGAGGAAAAAATATATATTTTATATATTTCAACGTAAAAGCGTGGAAAATATTAAAGTGTCGTAAAATTAAACGAGAGAGCATTGTCTAAAATTAAGCGATAACGTCACAAGCGCAGTCGTGCCGAAGGCACATACTCAATGACATCATCTTGCGAATTTACGCGTGATTACGTGTTTCTTTTCTTCTTATTCGCTGTTAACCTTTCTTGCTTCATCCGCTCTTCCCTCTCTCTCTCTTCGTCACTTTTATTTCTATTCCGCTTATCTTTTTCCCTTTGATCGATGGAGTAAAATTTCAATACAACAATTAACACGATAATTGATTAAAGGTAATAAAATAAAAAAAAAAAAATATTAAAAATCATCGTATACACGAATATATTATTCAACATATCGTTTGATGAAATTCATTTATTAATTTTAATCATCTTTTCATCCGCAAATTTTTCATCCGTTTCATCGATACAACAGTTAATGTTAATCAATGAAATTAATTTCTGTTTTTCTCATCTCTGAAAAACGATAAAACTTTATATGTTGCATGTACAAGTGTGCGCGTGTTGCGTTAAAAGCATAAAAGTACGCGATGATAGCCGACTTTCACGGGACTAATGATCCGGTCAGATGCGATAATTAGAGACTTAACGCGTGTTAACCGGCCATTGCAGAAACACTCGGCTGAGTCATTGCAGCGTGGTACGAAAGACGTGCCAACAGATCTGTCAATTCGCGCTTATTCTCGATCGATTTCGCGGTAAAAATAATATCTACGTGTAAATAAGTAA